ACTTTTTCATACAATTTAATTGCGTAGAATTGATACGCGATATGGAGAACTCGAGAATTTTCCTACCGCTTAAAGGCACAAAGAAACGAAGAACCGACTATTTCGAGCGTAAACCGCAAGATCTATGCCGTCTGATCGTTTTTCAAAATAATGACAAAAAGCGGGGCGTGACCGAATTATTTCCGGTTGTCCGATCGAATGGTTTCCCTATTGCGCGATGACATATGTGTTTTCATCTCTGATTTATCCCTTCCTCTGTCCGATCACGAGCGATCTTTCAGAACATATAACCAGTAACGTCGATTAGCCGTGCCACGCCGGGATGGTATGCTACTTAAGGAAAATTGTTACCTACTTGGGAATCTCTAGCAGGCCGTGTCGTGAAACAGGTGCCCCGCTATGAGGCTGGAGAACTCTTCAGGAAGCGAAACGGGTATTTACGCGCTCTAATGGTACTCGAACAGAGGAACGGGATTCATTTTCTAAAGCTAAAAGGTCTGTAAGGATCTGTAAGGTTTCCGCAAATTTTTTCAAGATCCGGCGTAATAAATTGAAGTTTGTCGCTGGAACTAATGATTTTAACGAGCAGCGAAATTTTTCGATAAGTCCTTGAAACTTCTTTCCTTCTATTGCTGTTTAGATCGAACATGGCTACCGCAGCCAATAATATATTGCACCGGTTGCGATGGTGGTTTTAGGAAGAATGGCTGACGTTTATGTTCTTCCGGCGGCAGATGGTAAATAGAGGTTAAGGGCTGCTAATTGTCCAAGCGCCCCATGCATGCCAAAACACAATTGGGAGTAACATGGTAGCATGAAAAGTAGCAAAATCGACAATAATTTTAAATCAGTAACAAATCTAGAAGAATATGAACATTTTTTAATAAATTACGATTATGCAGATATCTACAACCAATATTATTCATCTGTAAAGTGAATTTTGTCACAGCAACCATGACACATTATAATAAGAAAAATTAAAATTTTCTCAAAGCTGATTTCATGTTGGACGAACAAAGAGCCGACGGTTTATGCCGCGCGGCGCATTCTGGTTTATGCGGTTCGAATAATAAAAGGATGTGCGTGTGTGAAAAAAAGGGCGGACGAAAAGGAGCGGAAGAGAGAAGGAGAGAAAGATTTAAAGCCGACCAGTACTTCATATTCGAGCGGAGGTGCCACGACGGAAATAGGTATTTGAAAATCGAGAAGCACGATAGCACCTCGCGCTTCGAACTCAAAAGAGCGGGTGGCGGATGAGAGAGAGAGAGAGAGAGAGAGAGGGAGGGGGGAGAGCAAAGAAGAAGAGGAGAGCGGCTCAAAGAGCGGAGCAGCCGAAGGAGGACGGGTTCCGCAGCGGCTCGTCGTAACTCAAGTCTAGTTAAGGGAGCCATAATTCAGAGGATAGCACCAGGTCCTCAAACGGCCCATAAATTATGGGCTTTTAATTTCGCGATATTAACGGGACGATCGGACGAATGCTGAGGCGAGCGCGATTCTTAAAGCACCTCTCGCGGACCTCCAACCGCCCATCTCTCTTTTCTCCCGCGAGCACTGACGTCAAACTCAAAAGACTCCGACAGGATCCGCCTCGATTCTGCTCCTATAAGTATCCCTTTGCGCCTCATTAAATCGTTTATGCCCGACTTATGCCACGTTATCGCGGAAAATATTTTTTACGGCCGCCATGCAGATATCTGACACTTGCTTGAATTTTATAACTGTAATGAAGAATTGGATAGAAAAACACTAATGTAAATTTAAAACATAATTCCTGTCACTTATCGAAATGTAAATTCGGAAATCTGCAGAAAATGATTTTAACACTTTGTTCATTTTAATGATATTTTTGGAAACAATGTTATTTGACTTTATAATATCGGCGATTTAAAATTTACGTTCATCGCGAGCGTGAATAGACATGTACGCCATTTGTACCTTCGTCAACGTTCACCTGTTATTCGTGTACGGCAGATACTGCACGAGAAGCGATCTTTCTCATGCAGTCGTTACAAAAGAGTTTTGAAGAAGGATATTCTCAAGTCCTGGCACGCTAAGATAAATGTCCCTCCATTGCAAGAACACGGCATTGCAGCAACATGCGTGTAGGCGTTTTGCAAAATTTTACCACACCTGTTACATTCTGCGTGTCCTTCCACCGAAGAAATATACTTTGGTTTTATGTATACATTATAGAAATTTATTTTTCACTTTCTTCTATCACTTAAAATTAATCTTTATTCTTATTGGCTAGAGTTTACGATAAATTGCAAGCGTTATAAACGTATAATTATAAATTTATATCAGCTTACTCAACATTGCAACATTCTCCGATAATCAAATGTTAGTAATGTTAACAGATTGACAAGTTTCATCAAATGTGCTGTCAGTTTGCCAAGATTGCTAACATCAAAGTAAATTTTCAATCGGACTGTGGCGATTAAAAGCGATATAAAATAGTGTTCCACATTTCTTGTTCTTACTTTCATCACTTGTTCGATCAAGTTGGAATTGATGTCTTCGTAGTCATAGAATACATTTTTCATAGCTGTCTGCAAAGTTTACGGCGACATCGATGAAACACTCTACATTCCTTGAGCTTATCTGGATCGTACATTACATACAATAGAAAGCAGACTGAAAAGCTTATACACGACACTGTCGATTCCAATCTTTCTTATAACTCCTTTTATAATTGCTCTTTCTAACTCTTCTTGATTTTTTCATTGTTTTTCTCAGAACTTATTACAGTTCATACAATTTTGCTCTATAAGTTATCAATAATTTTTTATATTTTATATCGAAAGCTTTATTTTTCGTGAGCAAATAAGACATGTAATAATTAAAATTTATGTTTTCGCATATATCATGTAAATTGAATTTCACTGCTTTCTTTCGCTAAAAGCGATTAGTTCTTTCGCTATACTCATTTCGTAGATGATTTATCATTGTAGACAGCGTATATTTTAATAGTTGGTGTATTAAAAACACAGTTGCGCGAATAATTTTAATCACTGTGGAGAATTATCGATTCGACTTTACATGCCTTTTTTTAAAAGTAAACTTAAGAGAGATATCGTATAAATTTTCGCTAAACGTCTACTTGTGACGATAAAGAACTAAACTAGACTTGAAAAACAGGTAATACATACATTACTTGATTTTAAATCATCTTTATTTATCACCACAGGAGAAGGTTGTTACACCGGTTATTATGATATATTATCTTAAATACCATTGATTTTTGAGTTACTCCAAAAAAATTAGCACCGACGCATCCGGTATTTAATAATTTAACTACGAGTTAAATGTTTTATTCGAAGAAACTCGATTGCGAATTTATTTGAAAACCGCGCGATGATGCTATTGCTTTGCAGGAGACGTCTATTAATTCAACGCAGGTAATTTGCATTGACCGTTGTTATTAATTGATCTAATGTCTACTCGGGCGCGGCGGACTTAAAATCCGCTTTAATTGCGTTCACGATGGTTGTAGGCAATCAAAAGTTTATAATGAAGTGTTCGTCCCAGGAATTCACGGTAGCTTTGTCGAGGGCTTATCGTGCCGCGGCACGATAATAAAACTGTTCCCCGCCGCGACAATTATTTAATGGCTCATTATCGTGACGACACTCTTCTTCCCCTCCGCCTTTTCGCGAATCGCTCCATTCGCTGTTCGAATTCACATAATTAATTCGGACGCGAGAATTCGTTAACCCGTCTTGCTGAAAACCTTTTCGAGATAACATCGGCGGGTAGCGAGTTACTTAAATTCTGTCGCGGCGCATTATTCTTCGTCGGCGTAATTAAGCCTAGAGCCGAGTTTTCGAGGCCGCCAAATATTCCGAATCGTTTCGTCTTTCGTGTATTTTAAATCTCGTGGGAAAGTTTGCGAGACTTTGGGACTATCTAATATCCGATTTTTGTCGCATCTATCCAAGATTTACTTTTATCTTATGTTTAATACGATATCACTAATTTATGCATCTTTTAATTACGTTGAAATATATTCAATGTTTAATAGTTAAAACTGAATTAATGATGCAATATATTTATTTCTTAATTTTCACGGAAATATATAATTTTCTAGGCTATAAAATGCAGTTATTATTGAAAAGTGGACATTAAGCTCAGTTTAAAAGTCCAAACTGGTAAGAAAAAGTATATACTTTCTCGGAGCACCGTTAATGACTCGCGATTCACGCGATCGGCTGGTCCAGGATGAAGTCATAAACTCTGCAGCAGGTGCTCGATCCGATGCTTATCTCCCTCGCTCGGAGGCTTAATACCAAACTAACAAAATGTCTTGTTGCTCTTACTTTGTTTAAACGCTCAACGAGCCTGTAATGAAGCGATAAGAATTACGAGTACTATTCAGGCATATATATATATATATATATATATATTGCTCGCTCGCAGTTGTATTTTAACTTTCATATATGGCTTCCTTTTGCGATTATTTCGCAATAAACAATTAGCGGCGTGTACACTACATTTATCGCTACTAATTAAATTTCCACGGATTAAAGGTGCAATAAAGTACGGATTATAATGCGCATTTATCTATCTCTATCATTTATCTATCTAACTGACGTAGATCTGTCTTCGAATATGTACAGGTGTACAGGTGTACGCGTCCACGTGCCTTGACGCCGCTTTGAATTCGCCGGTACTCATTTTCATATTCATTAGACTCGGGATTAGCATGCTAATTGCAGTAATGAGCCGTGGCACAATGCGAGAACTGCCACACTCTTTTATCTGCGTCAGTCAACTGCCATATATCACCGTCCGACCGTTGCACTCGATTTCGATTGCAATCTCGTGAAAAGTCGTTGCATCGACTTTGACCCATTTTGTTATAATCAGCCATATGGATTCATTATGCAATACTTTATCTCTCCTTCTTACTTCACACGTTTGTATTTCACAATACGAATAAAACTCGGCGCTGGCAAAATAAGTGCTCAAAGGACTAATGATCGTGCATATTTGCGTTTCAGAAAAAGTGAGAAGTACCGCGTTGCGAAAGAGTCCGCTTTTCCAAGTTGTCACAAGACGCCGCCTAGTCATCGACCTCCATCGTCGAAGGTTGGAAGGTCGCCGCTGTAAAATCCGTGTATTACTACTGACAAGGTACGTAGGTCCATAAATGTTATAAAGTTGCGTAACACCTGTTAAGACTCGCCGTCATTATGTACGACGGGACATAATTCTAATGCATCCGATTGATTTACTGGCTAGTACTTAGTTTCTGGAAAGTTAGTCGGGAAGAAGCAGACCTATGTCTCGCCGACGAATAACTTCCCTTTTACGCGTTGGAGAAACGAAAGGATGCGATGAGCACTAAATTTTCTCACGTGAGAATACGTACTTGAACTTTCTGAATACAAAAAGCATTTCCCACAGAACAGTGTTGCAGTGTTGTAACGAATTAATGAAATAAAAAAAACGTGTCCTATTGAACGCAACGATGCACAGCGGTTGATTTCGCTCCGGCGTGGCAACGGCACGCAATAAACCATATGACACCCGACGTCAGGCGCGTTAGGGTTAAACGCGGAGTCCGGCCGGCCGTCTCGTCGAGCCTCGCGGAACATAACAGCTCGAGCGGAGCGCGCAACAAAGTACAAGCGCGAAAGTAGAAGCCCGTGCGCTATCCCGACGCTTCTCAGCGGCGTGTAATCAAGGGGTTGCCGCGCGGAATCACGGACAGTCGGATCGTTCGGTTCATTCATAAGTGGCCGCAATTCGTTTCCGTGCGATTCTCGCTCGCCCGATCGGAGCTGAAGACCCGCGCGAGCGCGTTTGCGTTTATAAGTATGCGCTATACACACACGCGCGTCCGCATCTGACGGGTGCGCAGCGCGGCAGGTGTGTAGGTGTAGATCGCCCCGTGTACACGCGAGGTCGTGTAGGTGCGTGTATGTGTCGGGCGGACGAGCGTGTGTACGAGCGGCGTAAGCCGGTCTACTTGGGTGGTCCGTCGAAGAAGGGACCGCACGCAGCGGCCTGCCCCCACCAGAAAAACCGCGCCGTTCCCCACTCGGCCACGCTGAAACGGGCCTCGCACACTCCCGCGAGTGCGGCTCGTACGGACGCACTGACCGTCACCTCTGTGTGTGCTGGGGATGGCTGGAATATCTCTCAATCTAGCTGGGCTGAATTCCGGCCGGTACTTACCGTGCGAGGAAGGACAAGGCCTCCTAAACGCACGCACGCACGCACGCACGTACGCACGCACGCACAGCGCAACGATACTCCGCCGTGATGTCGATGCGCGGCTTGCTGATCGCTTCGGGCTTAATTAATTAAGTAGAGCGTGATTTCACCGTGCAGCGCTAGAACATTAAGACTAGTTTATTCGCGAGTTTGCTCGTCGCGCAATCGCCAAGTGTCACGTTCGCCAATATCGCGAATATTCGCGGTGAATTTTATGAAACGAAGATTTTAGAATTGACAAAAACCGTGGATTACTAATCAAAGGTGTCGTTCTTCTTATGTCTAATTACTTTTTCATTACAAAATATTTCTTTGTTTAAATAAGTTTGAATAGCCAAGTTTTTCGGCGAATTTGCTCAAATAAATGTATTTCAAATTTGCCTAATTTATTTACAAGCACATATATTTAAACGTACACATATGTTCGGCGGAAATATTATTTATATAAGCGTTCGTGCACGTATAAACGTATACTACATTGACGACAAACAAGAGGCCGCTTTACCACGTGTTCGTACGTTCGTGCTGCTGTTCGTTTCCTCGAGGGAAAGGGATCGATTGATCGATCGGTACATTAAGGTACGATACCACAGCCGGGGCGATCATGGACCCACCCCGTCCTCTCGATCAAAGTCGTGAATCCCGACTCGAGATTCCGCCCCAGCTACCCTGCAGGAAATCCAGATTAAAAATTGCCTTTATTATCAGATCGCTCTCGTTAAATACTCAGTTTCGTGATAAATGGCGGCTCGAATTATCGTATTGTCTTTAAGGAAGTCTTATCATCTCTGCTACATCGCAACCGTGCATCAACCGTTGGACCTCCCGCGGCAGAATTTGCGCTCGCGCGGGGCAGAATTAATTCTCACCTTTGCTATCGGTTTCTTCTCGGTTCTCTATTCACGCGGAAGGAAAGTAAATCTCTCTTCAATGGTTGAAAATGATTTTATATTTGACTGTATCTGAATACATTATCGTACAAGATTGTTGGCTAACATTCTATGCAACAAAATTCTTCTCGTAGAATGTGCGTAGGAATAGATCTCATGGTTAAAAGCAAATTGTCAACTTGATTTACGAGATATGCTTGTCATTTATGCAAGCCGGCGTCTAAGTTCAAAAATCAATGCGTCGCGAGTAGATGACAGATGATATATTAGTGGTAAGGATACGAAGAACTTTAATCGCCGCTCACATCCATGACGATCGGGATCGGTTCGATGTCCAACTATCCGTCGCGCAAAGTACAATAAACCGGTTGCCGTATGCGTCAATTTATGTCATAATCGAGCGGCGACAATATGAATGGGCGTAGAAAAAAAAAATACATTGTTGGATTTAACTGAAAAAATTCAACTCATTATTCTTGTTTTCCGCACTCTATGCGTTCACGCCGTCGCATTTCGCTCACGTCAGGCGTAATAAACCGGTCGTTTTATATGCAAATTTTCTACTATTTATATCGCGAGCGAATCGCAATGACTAGTCACGAACGTGTAAGGACTTTAAGCTCGCCAACGTCCTTTTACCTTTCATGATTATGTCGTCAAATACGTGCATTGACTCAGTCATTCGTCGGCGATTAGAGAGAGAGAGAGAAGGAGGGACAGAAACTGCATCGTCTGCACGCTATGTTTCCGCTATAATCGATAATTATTTTAATTAGATGTCGAGATAGTGTAAATTGCAGTAGAACGCGGCACGTCGATCCGATGAGGAATCTCTCAATTATCTCGCATCACTCAACTTAACAAAGTCCATCCATCAGAATTGATAAAATCACGCGCATTAAGATCTTCATCTGACGCGTTCGGATTTCCGATCCGTACGGACTCGTGCGTTCTCCGGCACTTAATTTCAAAAGTATCGCAAAGTACGGATAATGATTCTCTTAGAATTGCGTGGAGCATAATTTGAAAATTACTGCATCCTGCTATTAATGAACATCGTCTGAAGTTAACATAGTTACCTTTTTCGTCTTTTTTTTTGTATGCATCAGTGCGCACTGTAAAAAAAGGAAAGATCATGTTTTCGCGGAACGTCATCGAATCTACATTTCATACGCTTCGGTCGAGGCTGATAAAGCGATTTCGCTCGGTGCTGCGTTCAAGTATAGGCTGTCCGTCGACTTAACCGAATAAAACCAGTCCACCGGCTGACAGTGCAAACAGACCCACAATTTTCTCAATGACCCCGGTACTTAACCAAAGTAACCGCCAGCAATAAAGGACCTGGCGATTAGGTGGAGTACCATACCCGGGGGTCTTCCTTGTACTCGTCGAGAAGTCAATCGTAAGGATCGCATTCGACAATTCGCTCGTCAGTGGGGATACTCGGACGCTGAGGTAGCTCTTCAAATGCTCGTGTTTCGTAATTGAGTACCCTCGCTCGCGATTAACGCGAGGAGTTGTGCGAGCGAAACTCGCTCGTCGCGCCGACCATTTGCGTGCCTCATCTTTTTTGCCGCGATACGCACCACTGTACATGTGATATATCTTGCTCCGTAGTTTTAACAAGGAACGAAGAATGCTCGAGTTAATATATATAGTATACCCTCGACTCTCTCAAATTGTTTTGATTTTCTTCAGTCGATCTTTCATCTTTATATATAATCTTCATAAAATTCTCACTTCTACTCTGCGATTTTTGTTCGTTAACCCGTTAACGTCGACAACGACGTTGTCGTTTGTGATTGCCACGATCGTATTATCAGATATCTTGGTTCCTTATCGGGCGAACCTCTTCGAGCCGAGGTTTCGGGCGCAGTCGCTAAATGAGATCGCGGGGACAGAACCGGCGTTCCGACTTTTCGACGGATAAAAAACGAGCTGTCGTATACGAGACGGTACGCGTGTGTCGCGGCGAGCCCCTCACCTGGGACAACAGGTTATATAAGGTCGGAGCCCCGAAGTATCCATTATCGAGCACGATATCTTCGTACCTGGTCGTTAGAGAGAGCAGTCCGCGGCCACGAAGAAGAGCACCAAGAGCGCACTCCAAGAAGACTCGTTACGTTACAGAGTGGAAGGGTGGACCGTAAAGTGGCCTTTGTCATTGGAGACTTCCTTGAAGCTTGGCCGCGGATCTCTTTAGTATCATTGAATGCTTTTCCATGCCTCGGTACGCTCGTTATAGAGTCTTGCTTTTCGAGGGGTATAGTAAGTCGTCCGCTTCACTCAGGATAATCACCGCAATGAGTTGCGTGATTGCTAACGGCTCGCACTGCCGCGTCACATTGCCGCCGAGAGAGCGAGAAAGACATGTAATTGCGAGTTTCGCTTTCCATCGAATGTATCATGCGAGAAGTAAATCCTTGTATGTACAAAGACATTCACGGGCGGATCCATTGACAGCAATTGCGCGGGCAGGCAATGACAAAATAAAAGACGAGCGTCTACGCGTCTTTTCGCAAATTGCATGTTATTTGGATTTTTTCCCTTTCACATTTCCAGATCACTTGTTTTTTTTTCTTCATCACACTTGCATCATTTTTTTCGGGTTCCTTTCTTCATTTAGTTAGGTTAAACCGACTTGTAATTTTCAAAGTGCTACTGCCCGCAATTTGCCAAAGCCGAATTGTAGTTGTCAATGTACAAAAAATTGCGCACAGGCCGCTTTGAGTGATTAATAATATACCTTATATTCATATGGGGGCTTATATCATGTGTTAAAATTGCTGCCCTTTGGCAACCATATAATCATGAGATATTCGAATGATAGATTACACATTACGCCGTTCATCTGATAAGATACGCATGTATCAATGTTCACGTTACATTGCATGTTGCTTCACGCATTTCACGCTCGCATCAGGCAAGATGTGTTCTCCATTATCATAATAAAAAAAAGTCGGAAAGCGCTGTATTTACAATGAATAAGGACTAGCGCATTAATATGTAAGGGATCTGACACTT